TAGTGATATTAACATTTCAGTAAATTAAGAGAACTTATAAGTACAATACTGAAACCCTCCTAGAACAATGTAGTAAGAGTACTGAATGTCAGACAACTCGCCCCTTGGACAATTAGCCCCAGACGATTAGCCCCCAGTCTTTGGACGATTAGCCCTCAGTCTTAATGTAAAGGAGAACTTACGTTCATCTTTTGGTCATTGACTTTTAAGGGTTTGTGGCTCCTAATGGAGGGTTTTTTTTGTGAATGGTTATCATTATCAAAATTTGCTTAAGTTTTACTTAATTTAATTTACATGGGTTGCACGAGGTGAGCACAGGCCTCCAGAAGTTTTTTTATTTATTTATTTATTTATTTATTACAATTTAATGGCATTAATAGTAATACATAACAAAACTAATATAAATAGCCATACGGATAATCTGTAAAGGAGTCCAGGACCCCATAAAGAACAGATCACCAATTCCTTTGGCCGTCTTCATATTGAATCCAGAGGTCGAAGAGTTTTCTCTGCGTTGTTCGTTTGGTTGACCGCTGATGTCCCCTCATCTTTTTGTCTGAAACCAGAAGGATCTGCATGTTGACCAATATAGCTTCCCGGTGAAGTACCTGGATCAGGGTGTACAGGGGCAGCTGTGATCAGTTGTTGCTGAATAAGCTAATACTAGTATCCATAATTGAAGGATCCCTTTTATACACATCCCAAGGATCAAGATTTTTACCTCGAACGAAACATGCCATTTGATTGGAGGAATCGTTAATTTAAGAAAACAATGAGCACTGAATTGGGATGAATGAAATGTCTCACGTCAAATTTACATAAGTTCGCACATTGCGCGTGGGTTTGAATTAAACAATGAAACAACAATTTGTAAAAGTTCGTGCATTTTGCGAGGCTTTGAAATAAACAACAAGGAATAAAATTTGGCACCTTGCGCATGGGTTTGAAATAAGCAAACTTTTACTTTTGTAAAATATACGTTATAATTCAATACGCGTGGCAGAGAAACGTTCGTAAGAAGCAAATAGCATGAACATTGTTTATTTCAAAATACATGATAGGGAAACGTTCGTAAAGTAAACACCAAGAGCATAGTTTATTTCAAGGATGGTGGGTTGGGGGCTAATAGTCCAGAGACAGGGGGCTAATCGTCCAAAGACTGGGGGCTAATCGTCTGGGGCTAATTGTCCAGGGGGCGAGTTGTCCGGATACCAAGAGTACTATGAAGACTTCAAAGTTATGGAAACACCAACTTAGTAATTAATAAGAAACTTTTCCTTCCTCAGTAATATAATACATGGGGGAATCAGACCTTTTCAAAAGATCTCATAAAAATTGACACTTTCAATGAAAATTTTTTAACAATCTATGTTTAAAAAAATTCAAAATCAAAATTCAAAATGGTGGATTAAAAAACTGGTTCAAACTAGTTCAAACCGATTTTTCAAAATTTAAAAATATACTTTAAGAAAAATTACATATACAAAATATGAATAAAATCTAATCACAAAATTCGACAAAAAACCAAAACAAAATGAAAAATTAAGTATAAAAAATATGAGTTTGAATGAAACTGAAATTTTATCTAATAAATTTATAGATAAGAATATAATGGAATTGCAATATCTTACTAAAGACCAACTTATTGATATCATAACGAAGCTGAGACCTATTCCAACCTATCAACCTAAACCAGCACCAAGGAAAATTAAATTCACTCCATCGTTTAAAAATGTTAAACAGATGGTTCAAGCCTATGAAGAAAACATTATTTAACCTCCTCTTGAGTTTCGAGATGGTTATAAACCAGTGCCTAAACTAAGAACGAAAAAGTATATTCTATTACCAAGAACAAAGAAGCCTGTTCCTCTACCACAAACGAAAAAGTTTATTCCATTACCAAGAAGAAGAACTGATGAGACAAACAAGGCTTTAAAAGGATTCACTAAATCATATGAAATAAACATAAAAAGCGATAAAGACCCATTAATTCAAATGCAGAGCACAAGATTGGCTGTTGGTCAATATATTAAAAAGATATTGAACAATATGAAAGGTCTCAAATTCACAGAGCCATTAAAGATCACCTTTGAGAAGCATATTAGTGATGATGAAGTTCAGACAAAAACAGCATATTTTAATAGTGCACCTCAGACAATAATAAATGAAACAGAAATAGCAGACTCATCATAATCAACAAAGCAACATATATCAAATTAAATTGCACAATAGATTTCAGAGGGATCTGGCTGGAGTATCCAATCTGTTGATAATCACTACCTGAATACTGTCCTATAGAATCCTACAAGGGGATCATCTTATATTCAACATCCACCAGAACTGAGGCATCGTAAAAAAAGGATTGACCAATATGAAAAATACGGACAACGAATGCTTTCGTTGGTGTCATATTAGACACTTAAATCCACAAGAGAAGTATCTTCAGCAGATTAAAAAAGTTGACAAAACTTACATAGAAAAATTGGATTACTCAGGAATTGAATTTCCATAACTATTAAACAAATCAATAAAATAGAAAAGCAAAATAAAATTAATATCAATGTATTCAGCTATGATAATAAATGACGATATCCAATATATGCCAGCAAAGAGAGAAATGAAGATCATTTGAATCTTTCATTAATAACAGAAGAGAAAAACTCACATTATGTATTAATAAAAGATTTCAATAGATTTATGTTTAACAAAACGAAACAGAAGGAGAAAAAGCACTTTTGTATGTATTGTTTGTGGTGTTTCAGCTCTGAAAAGGTACTAACTAATCATAAAGCTGATTGTCTCATAATAACAGAGCTCAAGCTACAAAGATGCTGACTAAAGACAACATATTGAAATTCAATAATTATCGCAAGCAACTATCTGTATCATTTGTTATCTATGCCGATTTTGAAGCAATAACAGAAAAAGTACAAAGCTGTCAACAAACT